ACTGAAATTTCTGGAACACGTAATGAGAAAGGAGGGCTTGGAGAATCTGATACTCCCAGGTCGAATAGAGGGAAAGAGAGAAGGCAGCTAAGGATATCATTGACAGAGCGTGTGAGCAACGATGAGGTTTTGGACAGGATGCAAACAAGGAGGAAGCTTATACTTAACATCAGGAAGAGGCAACTGAAATTTCTGGAACACGTAATGAGAAAGGAGGGCTTGGAGAATCTGATACTCCCAGGTCGAATAGAGGGAACGTGGAACAAGTCAAAGCAATGCGTGACATATTAATGGCCTTGAGCAAGTGGATGGTCGAACAGGGTATGGGAGAAATAACAAAAAAAACAAAACATATTAAGATCTACAAGGGACAAGAAGATATGGAGGGCATGATCGCCTACGTCTTGAAGAGACACGGCGCATAAAATAAAAAGATGTCACTCAGTTTATTTCTTAAAAGCTTCATGTCTGCCCAGTTTTGTATCCGAAAAGTAAACAAAGCAATTTCAAAGAATTAATGTATTTATTTATTTATTATGTGACATTATTCGAGGGTTAAATTGTTTTTACTTCAAAATAGTGTGTTTTATGTCTATCGGCTCTCGGGAAATCTTAATAAAGAAAATATTCTCTTCGGCAGGGTTCGAACCTGCGCCCTCTTATTTAGGAGAAACCATCGTTTGTTCCGGTATGCTTTAAACCACTCAGCTACAGACCGCGAACACGCTGGCAGGGTTCTGTATTTACATTAGTCGGACTATTGTCCTCATCTTTGTCCCCATATTTGTGACAAATATGGCAACAAAGATGAGAACAATAGTCCAACTAATGTAAATACTGTACATAATACCTCATCTCAGAAATATAGACAGACTCTAGCAGGGTTCTATTTTCTCTTTTTATGGAGAATATGTTTCCTTCTTCAGCTTTTCCTGGAAAGCCCATATCTGTTTCTTATCCGAAAATTAAACAGAGCAATTTCTAAAGAAATAATGGATTTACTTCATTTTTTTTTTTAGCCGACATTATTATTACGCCAAACGTTATTGTAGTAGACACTTCGTATTTAAAATAGACGCCCCATTTTATATTATAAATAATCTGTACTCCCGATGTACCTCCCGATTTCTGTGCCACATTTCTCTGTTAAAACATTTCCCAGATATTTGCATTTTCGTACTTGCTTGATTTTGGCATCACAAACTTCATAGCTCACCTCTTGGAATGTTCATCTTTCTGACAACTATAGACCGTTTATTATACAGAGCTATTCCAAGCACATACGTCTATTAAAATTAAGTATACTATAATACTATATGATATATACTTTACTATATATAATACTATACTATATATAATTTACTAAAAAAAAAGGCCGTGATTCAAAATAAAAAGTCTATTAGTCATTCAAGAGTGCCATTTATTTATTAGGTTGGTGCAAAAATAATGACGTAATAATGTCGTTTTTTAACGTATTTTTTAACGTCAAAAAACGACATTATTACGTCATTATTTTTGCACCAACCTAATAGAAATCTTGAAAATAAATACAATGTATCTAAATACAAATTAGAGACCTGTCATAATAGATCATTTCATCTTAAATAAATCAACAACGTTTTGCGCCAATTTTTAGCATCAACATGAGATTTTTTTTTTCGTGTTTAAAAGTTGAATAATTTAAACACGTTCAAAATTATGAATAAAAAATAGTGAATTTTATATATTAGGTTGGTGCAAAAATAGGTCGTTTTTTGACGTATTGTTTAACGTCAAAAAACGACATTTTAACGTCATTATTTTTGCACCAACCTAATAATTAGAATTTTTTTTAATAATTTTCATTAAATACATATTTGTTATTTTAACCATTAAATTGTTTTTAAAATAGTCTGAGTATTTTGTATGTTAAATAATAAAAAAATTAATTTCCCCCCAAAAAGTACTTGACAATACATTGTACTAAGCTAAGCACCCGAGTTAAACAAATTGTACTATGTACCTCTTTACCTGTTTGAACTTCTCCCCAAAATTTGGTCAATGTATGAATATTTTAGAGGTTGTGAAGGACAGACGGACTAAGGGAAGTCACAGAATTTTATATATAGATATAAATCTAACCAGAAATACATAAAGGTTGACATGCCACGAAACAATATCAAAATCAAAAGTTAACCAGGTGTGTTTGTAGGATATCTAAGAAAAGCTGTAACAAAAATGATGACAATAAGACATAATGGATAATCTGTAAACGACGAGGTATTAACCAGGTATTGAAATCAAACTCTTTGGGTCCTGTCACTGGATCTGACCAACGCCTTTATCCACTGTGTCATGTGTCCTTAAGGCGTAGGAGGACATGGAGAGAGGAATTAACAGGAGATAACTGATAATTGACATCTATTAGACATGGCACGTGGAAAATAGAACAGTCTACCCGAGTGAGCGAAATAAAAGGTTCAGTTCGACATTCCAACCACCTGAAGAAGGCCGGAGCGTACAATGGCCGAAACGTTGTAATAAATATGCTGACAAAGATGAGAACAATAGTCCGAATAATGTAAATAGTGTACATAATACCTCATCTCCGAAATATAGACAGATACTGAAGGGCCGAAACGTTGTAATAAATATGGCGACAAAAATGAGGACAATAGTCCGAATAATGTAAATACTGTACATAATACCTCATCTCAGAAATATAGACAGATACTGAAGGGCCGAAATGTTATAATAAATATGGCGACAAAGATGAGGACAATAGTTCTAATAATGTAAATAATGTATTTAATATTCTATTTACCATTTGGAATGCATCTTTGGACATCGCAATGCGTCTTTGGATCCCAGTGTCGCACTTTCCGTTCTATTGCTAGATATTTAAATTTCTGCACCTGCTTGATATTAGTGTTCCCAAACAGTAATTTGCATTTCGGACTCATCCGTCTTCTAACAACCATGCATTCTGTATTCTTGTAGTTTATGCATAGTCCTTTCTTCCCGCTTTCCTCCGCTACGTTCTGTAGGAGCTTTCTTTTCCGTATCTGATATCAGCACTGTGTCATCTCTATATCTTATATTATTAAGATTGGGCTGTTTTCTAACAATAGTTTCCTATTTCTTAATACTTCGCTTAGTTTTTGAAAGGCATCTTTCGCTAATCGACTGCGCATTTGGATTTCGACGTCGACTTTTTGTCTATGATCTCAACCGAATCCCACAGAGGGCGGTGATCTCCCTTTTCTCTTCATATGTGGCCAGCCACGCCTGATGTTTCCAATTCCCCTTGTGTTACAGATAAAGAACACCATTGGAAAATTCGTAATCTTTAGGAATCAGCACATATGCTAGGCCACAAAAATCTCCTGAGCCGACCAAGCATAGAAATGAATACAATATGGGAACCAGTAATAAGGAGTGCCAGAGAAAAGCGATAATAACAAGAAAAATTACAATATGAGCTCTGGTAAAAACATGCAATGATAACAGCAAAAAATTGCAATATGAGCACCAAAAAATGGTTGCTGAAACATTAGGTTTATAATATCTAGAAATTCATACGAAGATGTTCTCAAGGACACATGGCACAGTGGATAAAGGCGTTGTTTATGTACGGTGTCACGACCCAAAGAATGTGAGTTCAATACCCGGTTAAGGCAGTGGAGAATTTGGAGAGAGGAAGTAACAGAAGATAACTGACGTCCATGAGACTAGATTGGTCCACCCCAGTAAGCGAAATAAAGGGTTCAGTTCGGCATTCCAATCACTTGAAGTAGGCCGGGGCGTACAACAGCCGAAACGTTGTAATAAATATGGCGACGAAGATGAGGTCAAATAGTCCGAATAATCGTTTAATTTTGACATCAATTCCTCGTTGGTATCTTGGGCACACATTCTATCTTCTTACAATTTATAGATAGTCCTTTTTTCTCGCTATCCTTTACTACCTTATCTAGGAGGACCTGTATTTTTCTTCTCTTTTTGTCGTATCAACACAATGTCATTTTCGTATCTTATATTTTTATGTTTATAGCCACCGATAATAAATCCTCATAGGGTCTCCAGCTCCCTTCATATAGCCTCACTGTAGAGTTTGAACATGTCTGGAGAGAAGACATATCCCTTTTTTTGTAGGTCCCACGTACACGTAAACATTGTCCACTACGAAAAAGTTTGAGTTCAGTTTTTCATCAAAGGGGAAAAGTCAGATC